AACAAGCAAACCAAGCGATTATCGAATTAATCAACTAATGCGATAGGTGCTTATATGATTATTTCCATGATCTTCGCGGGTTTCTTTCCAACGATTTGACCCATAGCGGTGCCTTGCCACTGAAGACATAATGGCAGAAGCATAAATATGTCCTCAGTTCCGTTAGCAAACTACTTACCACTTAATGTTGTAACACTGAAGTTGGACGGAGTACCCTGCCCAATAGAATTCTGCGAATACAGTTGAAAATCATATTTCGTATTCTTTTCCAGATTTTCGATTTTCCGAACCACAAGTATTGCGGACCCTATTTTTGAAGCCATTATCATTTTGAAGGCTGACTCTCTGCTATTCTTGTACTTGAGGATATACTTTTTTATCTGAAATGATTCCCCATTGACTGGCGGCTCCCACTGTAGTTCGATGAACATTGTTCCTTTATTAATGGCTTTGATGTTTGTTGGTGGAGGAGGCTTTGCTGCGAGAAACATTCAAGAAAAATGTGTTAACAGATATAGGCATAGTCCTGGTTGTAGGTCTTTCCAGAGGACTTGGAGTCGTTCATAAAGGCAACATGTGCTTAGAGATGGGAGAAGGCGTATACCAGCTCCTATCTAACCATTCCCGTTTTCAGCATCAGCTTTTTTTGGTGCTCCTCTGATCCGTTCTTGCATAGGTTTAAAGGGGGCCGACCCCAGTGGAATTTGACTTTATGAAATTAAGATTTTCAAATTCCCACCCTCGGACAATTGTTGAACACCAAATTTCCACCCTTACTACATGTTTATTGCATTTTCCGGCTTTTTTAAGGTGGCAGCCACGTCAAGTTCCCCTATCATGGGGGCATAAAATATATTCAATTCACATGGGATCCTCGACCCCCAACCCTCTGGGGCTTAAGAGTGATAGGTTCACACCTTTAAGGAAGAGTGAATCGAGGCTGACTGAATAATTTCCAAAGCTCCCTTTTTTCACTTGTTCTATCATAATAGTGTTGACTTCTTTGACAAGATCTGGTGGGTTGTCCTGGGGTGTCGATAAAACCCGCGATATGGAAATGAGGAATTCAACGACGGTGCTTCCATTTCTAAACAGAAATAAAATTAAATTAAATAAAAAAAAAAATTTAAAAAAAAAAAATAGAATGATGATACATCTAGCTCACTTGCTTTTACTATAGCCCACCAAATCGTTTGTGCTTCCATAATAGTAATATATCCTCTGCACGCTCCGGCCACTAACAAAGGTCAAGAGACGAGATGGCATATTGCCTATTACCATCAATGTTTCCATGACACCCTATGTCTAAAACTCAAGGCACGCAGAAATCCAATAATCAAAACCATATCCAATACTCAATTTACCATATCTAACTTTACTCAGAACCATACCCATTGAGGATGTTGAGTTTTAAAGGTCTTTAACTACATATCGAATATTAGAAAATGTTTAGTTTTATTCTTACTTGAATTTATAAACTTCGATTCTCTTTGACCCGTCARTGGAGTTGAATACATAAGCTACCTGCAGGAATTAATAAAAAGATAAAGTAGTTTAAGTTATTTTGCAAAAGCATTAGACGAGCAATGTCTCTGCTACAAGTCAAGTCAATTATAGTACAAGTCAAGGTGATGACTATGATATAGTGACTATGGTAGTCAAATGACATCCGATAAGTTAGCTATTATTAGATGATGATGATGATGATGATAATGATGATGATAATTAGCAATTATTCGCCGAAGGCGAAGTGAATATCGTGGAATATTTACCGAGACACGAGTCTTCATATTCACTGAGCCTGAGGCGAATAATTGTTTTAGCATATACCAACTCGTGTACAGAGTAACTTATTTTTATATACAATAATTCTATAAAAACAAGCAAACAGAAGCTTGCAGTTTGCGTGACAAATTCACGCAAAACTTTTAGCAAAACTTTTAGCAAAACTGTTAGCAACACTTTTAGGCCATACTTCGTTGCCTTTTTAGTAATGATAGGAATGGCATTTACTTTCATTTTTTCAATTTCCTCATCGGAAATTATAGCAAAACGATTGCCAGCAGATGCCATTTTGTTGCCGACTCAATATTCCGAGATTCAGAGGCGAATATCGTATAATATTCACCTCCAATTAATCAATACCTGACTTACAAACGAGACTAAGGTGAGTCAGTGGCCGTAAAAACAGCGAGGTATGCATTGAATGCAAAACTAGTGTGTTAAGCGCGTTTAGACCTTTCAATTTCTTTTTAAAAACTCAAATTTTTCTTTGTTTATTATGAACTGGACTTTTGCTATTTTTCTTGGGCATTTATGGACTCAAATTAACACATAAACAAAAAATAAAGCTACGTATTTTCGTGTGATTGTGTTTTTGATTGAACTTACCTGCTGTTTGAACTCCTCTGCTAATGCCTTGTATCTGGGAGAAGATGAGTTTAACAAGTCTGAATGAAATTCTTTGTGCTTCAGACTCATTTCCATTTCGACCTTTTTAGATACTTTTAATAACAAGAAAGTATAATTTCAGCGTTGAATGCTGGAGCACAGCACAGAGAAGTGAAATCATTATAGGCAAGTGGGAATACTATCTAACCTTGTACTTCAAGCTTTAAACTTCTTTTCATCAATCCAATACTTGAACTTACATCACATGCGTACAAACCAGCATCTTTTGTTGTAACACCCTTGATTGTCAGCACCAGTGCTTTGGTGTAGTTCGAACCGCCTTGTGAATAGTCAAGATTAAATGTTTTGTCGTTCTTGGACAAGGACATTACGATATCGGAAGCTGTTCCCAAAACGGCGCAAAACAGTTGAACAGTGCCTCCAAGACTGACGCGTTTGATTGGGACAAAATGCAGAAAATGTAAAAACACTGTAAAATAATTTTGAAAAGTAAAAAAAAGACAATTTAATCTCGGAATGAGGACTACCGGTTAGGTCTTAAAACATGCAAGAATGATCAATTATCAGCGTCTATTTATAAAAGAATATGCTTCTACCTGAAGTAACTGTAGTTGGTTCTGAAGTAACTGTAGTTGACTCCGAAGCATTCGTTACTGCTTTCGTTGAGTTAGCGAATGAAGAGAGGAAGAAAGAAAAAAGAAAAACATGAATGGGAACGAAAAGCGACTATATGTTAACCAATGGTGTAATAAGTTTAATATTCCTTTTGCAACAAACAGTCACGTGCTGATATATGATTTTGATAACGAATCAATTCAGCTCAAAGTCCCTTGCTGAATGATAAACAAACTTTTAACTGCTTCATCTTGAAATCCAAAGCATCTTATGCGGGAAAAAAGTATTTTAGAAAAGATTTTGGATTCGACATTAGCAATCAGGCAAAAAATCTTTAAATAATGAAAGTCCTTTTTTTTTTTTTTTTTTTTTTTTTTTTTTTTTTTTTTTTTTTTTTTTTTTTTTTTTTTTTTTTTTTTTTTGCCATCCAGTAACAATCACGTGTCAATCTATTGCAAAAGGCCTATTGCTTAGACGTACGCAGGTCATTAGTGTTGTGATCGACACGAGTGAAAAACGTCTGCGCATGCTCTGAATCCGTATGCAAATTAGTCAAAACATATGTAAATTTGGCTTTCAAACATGCCTGTTAATTTGACTTCACAAAATGCCAAAACTTAGCGTCCATGCTTGAAACTTMTTTCATATCTTTTTCTTTTTAGTATACTTGGAGGAAAAAAAGATTTATTTCCTTTATTTATTTCCAAGCTCTTCAGAATTCTTAGAAAACGTGCTAACGTGTTTTTCTCTAGTGTCGTTGTGATCTGGTTATTACCTAGTTAAAATAATATATTTTTCATTCAAATTATTGACAAAACAATTAATTAGAAAATYTTAACTACTAAGGGAGTTCACCATAAACCAATAAAATAAGAGCTAGCTGATTTTTTTTGTAAAAAAGGGGGAATGTCTGCATAATCCACAATCCTGTAAATTCGAGCACAATCCGTATCCCTATGTTGTCATTAACGAATAGATCCGCAACCCGACTGGTCTACGAGTCAATAGCCCCTAATGGGCTATTGAGTGATTGATAGACTATGAGGGTGACAGGTAATTGCTTGAGCATTAACCTACTTATTTGGTCAAAATAATGGATAAGGACATCGTTGATGTCGCTTATACAGCTCACCCCTACTATTTCTTTACCCCGAAATACGTTTGTTTAAAAATTGGAGTCAAACTATTGATTAGTTACCAGGGTTCGTGCTGAGGTATCCACTTAAAATTCAAGGACTATTCAAGGAGTATACAAGGACCCAAAAATGAAATTTCAAGGAGTATGTTCAGCTAAATATGCCAAGGTTTTACACGATGGTTGCGGATGGCCGACTTTCAGATTTTCCAGTCTTTCTGGCTAGATCTATTTCAGAACCATGCAAGTAATTATCAAAGCAAAAATTCAAGGAGTTTTCAAGGAGTTTCGCTAAAATCATAAAATTCAAGAGTTTTTCAAGTGCCCTTGAAAACGTGAATTAAATTCAAGGAGTTTTCAAGGAGTTTAAGGAGTAGCACGAACCCTGATTACAGTTACATAGGCTTTTACTAGTTGGAGCTACAGTAAGTTAGGAAATAATGTTACCTGTTGAGTAATTTGTAACTGGAGATACTGGTGACGGTGACGGTGGCGGTGTCGAGCATGAAGGTAAAAATGGTGACGGAGAAGGTGAGGCTGCTTGAGTTATTGGAAAATAATTAAAAAAATGAATTAAAGAACAACTACGACCAACAAACAAACGTTATAACTGTTATAATCATCCTTATAAGTTGCTGTTTATTGCTAAGGAAAAAAAACCTGGCCATCTACAATACCATAGTCAATGTCATTCTTTAAATACCGCTGYGTTTTACGACTACAAACGCATTTGTACAGGATTAGCCTCGTTTAAAAAGCAAATCATTTGCCAAAGTCAACTGCAATGTAAAGAATGTGCAATAATAATAATAATAATAATAATAATAATAATGATGATAATAAACTAGCTAGTCAAGCTTTTTCCTAGGGCCTCAAACTTCACTCCACACTTATAACTTGTTCAATACTTGTTTGCTAACTCTCACTCGTTCTCTCGTCCACTCGGTTCACTCCTTCACACATAACGCACTCACCTGTACTTAACTAGTTCCAGTGCTTCGATATCTAGTACTTTTCTTAGTGCTCTAGCTGTTCCTAACAAACCTGCTTTCTGTAACACATGCACTAGCACATTCAACCCAATACTTTCACTAAATGTGCACTGATAACTATAGGTGTTACATTAACTCTCTTTATCATTATTATCTTCGTTTATTTAAACTTTCAGTATG